TGTTCTGCTAATGAAAGTGAACTTGGATTCCTCCACATGGGATGAAAAAGACTCATTGCCATGTTGATGTCGTTGTCTCCAGGTCTGCCACAAGGAGATTTTTTTTTTACCCATGGCTCATTTGGTTCAATAAACTTTTTTCCTTTAATATATAATAGAAAGACCAAAATAACAGATTTTTTTTTTTAAGAGTATATTTATTTTACTCAAATGTATTTAACCTAAATATGACAGATTGGTGGGTGAAAAAGAAATTTGCAATGACTCAAGTGTTGTTGTTTTTTAAGTCAGAACACTGGAGATTAAAAAGTCAAAGGTTATATCAGCTTATGAAACAAACATTGACTATATGAGTGTCAGTGTTGGTATAATATTATCACATGACCACATAGAACAAAAGAAAATGCTCAGATCAACCCAAAAAAATTTAAATTAGGAGCTAAAAGCTAAACCTCTCCCTGCCATTAAATCCTTTCCAGCTTTGTGTGAGAGCCTCTTAAATCAGTCACAGCATGCTAGTGGCAGCAAAATGACCTCATCCTGCACTGCAAGACTTTTTTTTATTTTATTATTATTTTATTTCTGGCTCTGTCTAATTAATCTGGGCACTCTGGTTGGCTCTTGACAGCAGGCTTGTAAAGTAAGATTTGTGCACTGCTCATTATCATTGATGAAGTGGAGTGTCAGCGGTGCCAGGAAGCTCGGCTGGCCGGGGCTGATGCGGGTGAGCTGGTGGTAGGGAAGTCATCAACCCGTTCACTTCTGTCTCTGCTCGACAGTCCCACTCCAAAATTAATTGCTCCCAGACCACTTTTGTGGTTGAATTGAATTGTAATGATTCATAAAGAAGTGTAAAATGTGTAATTTTACGTGGATGTGGAGGCAGCCTTGATGATCTCTGGGGGAAATGTTAGTAGATTCCTTTGGTTAGCTTTTATAGGTGTTAAGGAAATACATTTTTAAATGATTGTATTTTGACTAGGGTATTGTACTATAGCACTATTTTAATTATTGTCATACTGTAGGCATATGATTACAGTATAGCACTGTACTATGAGAAGAAAAATAAAAGATATGCACTTTATCACAATGTTAAAAAATTTGGAAAAGAAAAATTATAACATCAGATAAAATGTTTGCATTTAAAGTTGCTATCAAACCAGCTGGTATTGGTCAGTTTTGAGACCTTATTCATTTATCAAATCTGAAATATGACTCTACTTTGATTCCTTGTTTTTTTTGTTTGTTTGGGGTTTTTTTATGATCAGAAAAATTATCAACCAACCAAATTGGTATTTATTGAAGGAATCAAATAGCCTGATACACTAGACTAAATGTGAGATTAAATGTGTAATTTAGTCCGGCCCTGATGAATGAGACATTGTAAGATTGTTGATGAGAACAACCCGTTGTTTTTCAAACCATGTCTGTGCCTACTGGCCAACGCTCTGATCAATGAGCGCAACTGACTGTGACGTAGTAAGAGTGACAGAAAACTGGTGGGGGAGTGTAAACGGCGAATATCATTAAAAATGAATGAGCGTAGAGCCTATTCCTGCTCACATTTCAACGAAAACCCCAAGTCTAATCCTTCCAAAGCCGAGTCAAAAATCGCCATTAGAGCCAGCGGTCCTTCACACATGGCTATGCCAAGAGAGGGCCACTGCAGACGGTCTGCGGTTAGCCGTGGCTGCCGTTAGCCTCGAAGGTCCGCTGGTTGCTGCAGTCCTCTCAACTTCGGAAAGTTTTTTAAATTAAGCATTAAATCGGTAATTGGACCATATAGTGATGCTTTAAACTATAATATTCTCGCCTCAAATTATCTTAAAACGTACTTTTATTGAACAACAGAAAAGAGAACTTTAACTTGGAGCGCTCCATTGAAAGCTGCTGCTGATGCAGTGCATGCTACTATTCAATAGTCGTTGCCATCTTCCTTGTTGTGTTTTCTCCAGCATCACACCCTCAAAACCCCGCCCGCTTTGCAACCAAAAATTCAAAACACATCTCTTCATTGTGATTGACAAGCCAGTTCTAGGGCCTGGGGCATTGATTGAGGGTGATTTTGGCCGCTGGCAGGTGGGGCTAGTTTACTAGGCTAGGAATCAATGCGTGTAGCAAAAATAGAATAGAAAAGCCTTTATGGTCCCACAGTGGGAAAGTTTGGGTGTGATGGTGGCAAAACACCAGTAGACACAAGACTTACACTCAAGACTAAATACTACGAAAATGACAACATTTATTACATACAATCTAAGAAAACTTTGACTGCTCAGTTACTTTATTTGGCATCTCATTAAAACTACTTTAAACGACAAATCTAAAATGTGATTGAATATATCTTGAATTGTTATTTTCCCTACACTGTGTGCGGAATTATTAGGCAAGTTGTATTTTTGAGGATTATTCTTATTTTTGGGCCACAGTTGTGTTCCTAATCAACCCAAAAGACTCCTTAATATATATCAAAGTTTCATATTTTTGGAAGTTGATGTGTTTTTTTAATTTTTTTTTTAAGATTTGGCCATTTTATGAGGATGTCTGTGGGTGCAGGTAAATATTACTCTGCAGAATTATTAGGCAATGTAATAAAAAAACAAACATATACCCATCTCACTATTTTTACCAGGTAAACCAATATAACAACTCAAAATTCAGAAATAAACATTTGCGACACTCAAAAACCAAAAAAACAACAAAACAAATCCGTGACCAATATAGCCACGTTTCTTCACCAAACTGGCAATAGGTCTGGGAGTTGACTCCATCATCAACCTGAAAAGGTCCCACAAGCCCATCTTTGATGAAACCAGCCCAAACCAGTACCCCACCTGCACCTTGCTGGTGTCTGAGTTGATAAGGAACTTGCTTCCTTTTACTGATCCACCCTCGTGCCCATCCATCTGACCCATTAGGACTCACTCTCATTTCATCAGACCAAAACACCTTGCAGAAATTAGTCTTCAGATATTTCTTGGCCCAATCTTGACGTTTTGTCTTTTGTGTCTTGTTCAAAGGTGCTCTTTTTTTTAGCTTTCCTTACCTTGGCCAGGTCCCTGAGTATGAGCACATTGTGCTTTTCGGAACTCCAGACATGTTGCAGCTCTGAAATATGGCACAACTGGTGAATAATGGCTTCCTGGCAGCTTCATGGTTCATCCTTCTCAATTCATGGGGAGTTATTTTGCGTCTTCTTTTTTTAACACGCTTCTTGCGCCCCTGTTGGCTATTTGCCATGAACTGCTTGATTGTGTGATGATCCCGCTTCAATAGCTTGGCAATTTCCAAACTGCTGCACCCCTTTGAAAGACACCTGACAATTTTTGACTTTTCAAAGTCTGCCAAATCTCTTTTCTGACCCATTTTGGCAAAGGAAAGGAAGTTGCCTAATAATTAAGCACACCTTATATAGGGTGTTGATGTCATTAGGCCCCAATGATGCACACCACCTGATTTATTTAATTGGTAGTTGGCTTTCAAGCCTATACAGCTGAGAGTAGGAAAACATGCATGAAAAGGATGATGTGGTCGAAATATTCATTTGCCTAATAATTCTGCACACAGTGTAGTCATAGTACAATTTCAGATATCTTAAAGTATCATTAATGATAGTCAAAATGTATTAAATAAGGTTTGTTCTATTATGCTCAGAAGCCCATAATGTGTTGCTCAGATGCGATGCTCCTGCTGCAGGACATTCTGATGCGTGTCAACAATAGACTTTGCATGTAAACCAGCTGCTTCTACTGCTCAAAGTGTGTCTGATGTAAACGCAGGCCAAGAAAAGACAATATAAGGTTTTGGATGTTGTGGCGTCGACTACAACACATTTGTGTTTTCTCTGTTGTAAAATAAGTAATTTGTTACATATTTTTCATAAGTACGATTGGTTGTGTTTTTAACACTTTAGTTTTAATTCATGATTTCGATCTCGGCTAAAATATTTCCTAAATAATTGCACAATATTTCCATGATTTGAGTGTCTGACAATGTATCAGTAATAGCAGGAGTTAATACCTTAGAGATCCTGTCACATGTGGAAAAGAATTGCCACTCTAAAGTGTCTTTGGTGGCAGTGGCAATGATTATAGCCACACAAGGCAAAGGTGATGAAAATTGAATGTGAACAGATGGTGATATAGAGAGGCACATTGCTTTTATTTAGGAGAACCAGTCAGTTCATCCCAGACATATTGATCGGCACAATTTACTCTCTTTACTCAGAGGATTATGGCTCTGTAGAGTAATATAAAGGTTTCCTGACTTGTCAATCAGCTGTCACTGCCAATTCCACTGAGCAGACTTCAGCCTGTCTCTGAAATGGGTTTGCCGAGTCACCCACCTCTCAGACAGCGGCATGTATATTGCCAAGGATTCCTGGAGGACAATTCTTTTTTTCAATATTCAAAGTGATTTTGAGAGTATCCCACCACTCATCTTCATCGAATTATATTTGTTCTTAGTGCAGTCACATTATTTTTTTCCTCTTCATTTTGTTATTTCTGTATTCTTCCGATTACACGGGGTTAGATTTTATTTATTGCAGCACCGTCTCTAAAGATGTCACTTGGATGCTTCCGTTACCTCTCTTCATTTCCTCCCCTTTCTTAAATGACTCCATTGGCAGTAAGAGAGTATGTTGACATGCCAGTGCAGTGCCACCGTCTGGATTTATTGTTGGATCCTTCCATTGGATTAGAGGTTCTGACCTTGCCCATCTTGGGTTTGGAGAGCTGATGCCTTACTACCCATGGGCTGTAGTGCAGTTATTAAAAACTCCATTACCACCATTTATAGGTAGACATAACTCACAGTACGGATATAGAGATGTCAAAACAGAGATTGATCTCGGTAAGAAGTGTAACCCAGAGAAAACTTAGGAAAGGTAGAAAGACTGCCAGGACTGAAATACTGCGCTGAAGGCATCAGTCAATCTGAAAAGAACTTTCAGCTATACATCTATCATACCCTTTTTCATAAACCCTCTCTGTCACTTGTAGATCCTGAAGGAGTTAAAGGATGAAGAGTGGGACATGGGTAATATTGTCTTCACACTGACCAACAGGCGATATGGAGAGAAATGCATCGCCTATGCAGAAAGCCACGATCAGGTACGCTTTAAATCTCATCTCCCTTTAATGCACATCAAGTCAGCATCTTTTTCTACTGTGAATAATGCAATATCACACACATTTCCAGGCTCTGGTTGGTGATAAGACTCTGGCCTTCTGGCTAATGGACAAGGAGATGTACACCAATATGAGTGCCCTGATTCCCATGTCGCCCATCATCGACCGTGGAATGCAGCTGCATAAGATGATCCGCCTCCTCACTCATGGTTTAGGTGGAGAGGGATACCTGAACTTTATGGGTGAGTCATCACTGTAAAAGAAGAAGAACCTAGAGCTACAGGTGCTACAAAAGGTTTCACTTTGTGCTAAAATATGAAATAGTTTTTTCTGCTGCTCTTTTATTCTCACTTTCATTAAGATATATATTTTCGTTACGGCTTCAAATAACGGCAATGTCCAATTATAAATGCTCCAACAGTAATTGCTGATAAGAAAAACGACATCATTGCATTATATTATGAAGAATGAGGCCTGATTACTTTTATTTCAAAAAGCACTTCCTGTGCACAGCAGGATAATAGCTTGTCTGACATATACATTTGCCAGTGACTTCCTATTATAAGCTACAGTACAGCCCTGCATGGCTCTTCCCTGCATCATTTTCTGCTACAGACAGTACATTCTCAATGTGCTTGGCTCCCCGAAATCACACAACATGTGAAGCCTCAGTATCACAAATTACCTGCATGCTTTGGCATTTATCATGGTCTGTTTGTATATATGTATTTATTCATACTTTATTAATATAATGTATCTTTGTTGCACCCAAAGAACAAAAAAGAAACTAATATTTACAAGTTGATATTTGAAACGGATGCAAATCTGCTTGAAGTTGAACTTCCATTATATTACGTCCTAGACAGATACACCTATAGTATAGTTGCTCATAGTGCTGAACATAATAATAATAAAAAAATCTCATCCCATATCACCAGTCAAACACAGTGGTTTAGAAACATGACCCGTGGATCTTGCAGTCGTGAGGTTATTTATAAGTAATTCGGTCATCCATCCAACATGTAAATGTGGGATAGATATGGCTAAGTAACATGAGGACTATCCCTTACAGTCCACATAAAACCTGACAAAGAGTGGATAAAAAATAAGATTGCTGGCATTATTTTGATTCAAAGTCATCACAAACTCTGAGCAGTACTTGCCCTGCTCACTTTAATCCATCTTATTTATATAGCCCCCGATTGACAATTTTGTTCTACCAAAAGAAAAATGTTTGCTAATAGAAACAAGCTGCTTTTTTCAGGCTTCACAGTAAATAAAGAAAAGTGTAAACAGGTGATGAACAGTGTTTTGTAAAGCACATTTTAACATTTTAACAAGACAATTAAAAGTGTTGTACAAGAACAAAATGTAATAGGAATACTGAGAAAAGAATATTGTAATATGAGGAAATATAAAACTGAAATTTAAAAATTATGATTTTTAAAGTTATTAAATGATTATAGAACTGACATGATTAATAGTGACATGATTATGTAGCTAGACTACAAACCAAAGAATAATTTTTAGCCAGTGAAGTAGTTTTAGACTAGGGGTCATCTGCTCTGCTTCCTCTGTTTAGGTGAGGATGCAGGCAGCACCATTCCGCATCAACTAAAGATATCTGGTCAGTTTTTAGGATGACCTGTAACCAGTTCCGCTATAATTAAAAGCTTGAATTACTTTTTCCGAAATCCTGCTGAGACATTAATTTGTCCTGTAGATGTTCATTAGGTGATAGAAGGCTGTCTATTACTGCCTTTATCTTACTTTGTTCTTTTGGTTCAGTCTAAGTCCATCACTGCATCCAAACTTCAAGCCTGATTGGTGGTTTCTTGCTTTATTAACTGAAGCTGGCTCTAACTCTTAAACCGTCTTCCTTTGGTCCAAAGATTATTACTTCAGGTTGTTATGATTCAGCTGAAAAAACATTTAGCTCATCCACACATTGATTTCCTCTATGAATTTACCTTGCTCTTTAATTGGATTCGTAGTAGGCCTTGGCGATTAACTAGATTTTTACCATTACTCTCATTCACTAAGATAATCAGCGACAATTTCCCCATGTCTGTAAAATAAATAAACTTAATTCTACCGTTTTGCTGTGTGCGCTTGTTGCTGGTATTTCCTTCTCCTTTAAGACGCTGCAGCGTGTGTATATTCGGCCGATCCAGTCAGAAGCATAAACAGAGAGAATGCCAGATGAGCCCAGTGAAGAAACGTCTAACACGGCTGTAATCGAAATTACATCACTTATTCCCGTGGAGACGAGCGAGAGCAGAGATTAACTGACCACAAAGAGTTGAGCGGGTTGTCAGGTTCAGGAAGGTCCGCATAGGGTTGAGAGAGGGTATGCGGGTTTAAACAATGCACATTTTTCTCACTGCATCCTCAGTTTGGTGGCACCAAAATTACACCAAAAAAACATGAAATACAAAGTTTGACTGAAAACTGTCAGGACAACCCAAAGTAACACATCCATCCTTCACCACCAACAGCACAACCTGTTGAGTTCAAAGATGTGCAAAAGGCTCCATTACCTTTGCACAAAAATGTTTGAAAGAGAAGTAAAATTGTTCTCATGTTCAATGAGAATTTGCTGGATGTTTAAACTTAAATGGGTACAAGAATGTAATAATTAGTTGAAAGTAATATGTAATGTGATTTAGGTCATATTGCCCAGCTGTAGTTTGTTGTCACCTGGTGACATCTTAATGAACAGCTGTGTGTCATCTGTATAGTGATAACTTATGATATCTGTTGTAGTCAAAAGTCCAGCATGTAGACATTGAACAGGAGTTGGCCTAGGATGGACCCTTGGTTTGGTAAGACTGATAAAAGAAAATTTTTCTGTTAAATCAGAAGGTATGACAGGCAAAATTTTTGGAAGGAAAGCTGTAGGTAAACCATCAAGACAGCAGGAAGAGGAGCTTTGTTGGTCTAAAGATCCTTCCAGGAGGAGACCCAGGGGGAGACCCAGGACACGCTGGAGGGACTATGTTTCTCGGATGTCCTGGGAACGCCAAGTGGCTTGAGAGAGGAATGTCTGGGCCTCCCTACTGAAGCGGCTACCCCCGTGACCCGACCTGGATAAGCGGAAGAAGATGGACGGATGGTTTTTTGTAGTTTATTTGGTGGAAAGTCTGACATTTTGTCGAAATAAGTTCTAGTTGGAAACAACTTCAATATCACAGTTTAAATGGATGCACAGTCTGCCCCTCTATTCTTTTTTTTTTTTTTTTTTTTTTGTAAAGAAACCTGTAAATTCATTGCAGACCCTGGTAATTGGGAGTTTAGATGCTTTAGTTACAGGAGGGTTTGTTAACCTTGCCTGTGGCAAATAAGGCACAAGCGCTATTAGTTTTTAGTCTCTCTAAATACATGTTATATTGAACCTGGAATCCAGTCTTTCTTCACCTGCATCTAGCTTTCCGACTCTCCTTTTTTCTCTTCTGACCGGTGAAGATTTTTTCCATAGAGACATTTTCCTCCCATAAATAACCTAAACCAACGTTTCCTCGATTCGGTCAGGCAACCAAATCTAGGGGTTGCCTGACGGGTTTCCACTCGTCGTTTTTTATTTTTTATAAATAATTGAGATCACTGGGCTTTTTGAGACATTGCTGTCGGATTTCTTTTGTACCTCCTGCCGTTTGTGCCTTTACACATTGTGGTTCTGGAAGTATACAGACATTTCTTTTAGCTTTATTGCATTTTTCTGCTCTTCTATTCTAACTGTGAGATCTGTAAAGCAAGCAGGCTTCAACTTACAAGAATATCTCTAGGGTGGGCAGTAGAAATAAGATCTACAGAAGCTTAGTTTTGAGTGTTATGTCCAGATCTTTAAACATTAATCCATTTTCTAAAATTACCAAGAACCTCTTTGATATTGCAGCCAATTTTGTGAAGATTAAAGATGAAGTAACTATAATGAAACAGTTTTGAGACTAATTTACAACATATAAAAACTGTAGAAAAAGGGATCCTGCTGTATATACCTTATGCTGTACTTTATACTATATTTGTTTTTTGTCCAATTTGTTGTGCGAGTCGACAAAACTAAACATTCTACAGTAAACTGATATTGTCCTCCCTAATTAGGTCATGTTTTACAATCAGGGCACATACTTGTGTTGTTCCGGTGACATTAAAATGCTGAAGAGGTGATCAAGGTCGTTTGATGGCTGCTCCCCCTTTTCCTTCTATTAAAACAGGCAAGGAGACGGGTTTTAGATCCCTGTCATGCACTGTAATCCAGCTGCATTTGAACGTTTGCCCCCGGGCAGACATAGCGCTCCCCTAAGTGTTCAATGAACGGATAGGAAAATACATCTACTCTCCTGTCTTTCACAAGCAAGCAGCTGGTTTAAGACGAGCTCCTATACAGACAAGAAAGGACAGATTTTCCTTTTAGAATAGATACTTTCATGGCTTACATAGCTTTTATATTCAGGGTTATTTCTTGTATGTATTTAAGTCTGTTTTTATTGATACAGTATTTAATTCAAGTGTTATTTCAATAAGAATTGTATTCAGTAATCACTCTTATTTTTGTTTAAATGGCTCCCGTCTTATAAGTTTTTTTCTGGTTCCAAACATTTGTGTGTGGATGAGCCCACCAACAATAATTATAACCGATGGCATCAGGAGAGTTCATTGAAGTTGGGTTGACCCCAGTTTCCAGAACTGATTGTAAATTATGAGCCAAAAGTCAAACGGATTGCTTTTATTCTCCAAATGCTCCCCCTCTCCAATCGCTGTTGAGGTGCAGCTCATTTGTAACTCATCATTTGAAAGGGAGCATGACTTTATCAGCTCCTGCTGGTAAAGATAATAGTCATTATTAATTACAAAGAGTTGGAATTTGACCTTGGCTGCAATCAATGCATTTCCTTGATTGTGCCAGACCTATATTCAATGGAAATACAGCTTGTACACCAATGCAAAAAATATTCATCCTACTTGAACATTTGGACCTATATAACATGGGGAAAAAATTACAAAAAAAAAGAGAGCAAAGCTAATGTATTTCTAAATAATTTTTTTATGAAAAGAAGATCTGAAAGAGTGATAAGCATTTTATTTTTTGCAGTCTACAGTTTGACATTTTTGCCTTTTTTTTCTTCCAAAAAAAACAAATCATTCAGCTGATTCAGATCAAATGGAGAGAATCTGTAACCTAGCAGTAGCCAGATTTATGTGTAGAACTGAGTTGGATTCTACTTTATCAATCTGGGGTGGC